GCTGCAAAATTTATTCAGATATCGTAAACTAAATAACAGTGCTCAAAACGAATAAAACCAATAACAGAATCGAATACTTTCTTCAAAAAAATGACAAGTGGTCGTTTATCCAGACAACTTCTGTAATGTCTGCTTACACATCTTTTGCCCTCTACTTTAAAATAGTACCTTTGAAAAATATATTCAGGTATTGTAAACTAAATAACAGTGCTCAAAACAAAATAAAATACTTTCTTTCATCTTCAACTTTCAACTTCATCGTCCGATTTGATGCGATATCTATATTGCACACATCATTTGCCCTCTACTTCAAAATAGTACCGTTAAAATATATATTTAGGTAACAAATTCAATAACAGTGATCAAAACCATTTCTACTTTTAAATATCATTGTGGAAAATTTCCATACTTGTTTTTAGGATAATAGTTTGAACCTTTTATCCTGCACTTTGTCCTCTACTTTATAATAGCATCGTTAAAAATATCATATTTTACTTATTTTTGAGAAAATGGTGGTGGACGTTTCTAATAAAAAAAATCTATATACTTGTTCTCTAATTTATATGAGGTAAAAACCCTAAAAAAGTGCTTTACCCTGTTTTAGTGTTTTTTCCGCTCAACAGATGGTGCTACTGTGCTCAAATTCATCAATTTTTCTAAATTATTGATTAATATATACTCATTCTATTTATCTAAATTAATTGAAGGTTTATTATTTCTATATTATATAATTATATGAATCTTGTCAAGAATTAAACGAAAGGTAAATTTACGCAAAAAAGGTAAAGAACGCAAATAATTAAAATTAAGGCTGTATTTGCAATCTATTTATACTGTAATTACCTTCAAACCAATTTTCGTCAACCCTTCTGGTCAATGTGACCAATTCGCCCTTCAGTAAAGACAATTCCAAATTGGTTTGGGCGATAAAATTGAATTTAGCCCTTGCTTGGCCTTCGACAGGTTTGCGTTGCACTTGGCGTATTCCATCATGGGGTAAGATCTAAAAAAGGAAAAAAAGTAAATATATTATTCTAAATAATAGTTAGAATCTTATTATAAGAGAGGTAACTAGGCGTTTTTCAATCTTAACTAGAGGGGTAACTAGGCGTTTCAAACTTGAACGGTATTAAAATAATTTTTCGTCTCGGTAGGGGATATACCCCTACACCTCACCCTTGGCGTCATGTCGTCATAACTACTGTCGCAAGGGCCCAAGCAGTGTACAAAAGTGTGCAAGTGCGTTAATTTTGTCAGGCAATATAAAATTGTACCAAATTTGGTGATTTGTAAAAATTTTTGTAATTACTAAATCGTTCAAATAGTTATTTTGATTGATGTGAGAAAGTCGCATTTGGAGTTAGTTGGAATAAAACTTTAGGTCTAGTGTTAGGTTATGTAGTGATAGTAAAGCTTCAAGTGAAGAACATTTGGTGGAATGTATATTTTACCTCGACATAATTATATGGGAACATCCCTACTGCAGCATTGTGTTCGCCCTCATACCAATTTCTATCCAATTGTCTCCTTACATAGATCAAGTCGCCTTTGCGGAAACTCAATTCGCGGGCAGATTGTCCCTGAAAAACAAAACAATATTTGCAAAATTATATATAACTTAAATTTAATCTGTAATATAGTTTAGTTAATAATATCTTAGTGATCTACTTTAGTCAACTCATCAATACTCCAGTCCTAATAAAAATTATCTGGTAATTAACGTCTAACGATAATTGGAATCTTTCTTTTATAGCTATTTGAAGAAGATCAGTTTTGCCTTCAAGTAATTGCCACATTACATTGCTATTTAATAATAAAAAACCTTAGACTCTTACTCTTTCGTACCTCGGAATCATGCTATAGATTGTTTTAATTTTTTATTATTACCTGGAAATTGTACAAAGCCCTGGCAACGATTCGTCTCTCTGGTCGATTTTTAAGCTCGTTCGTTATCGTCGGCTCTGCACCCACAAAATCGTCAAAACGATTCAAAGGAATCGGAGATTTCTGGTCAGGCGTGAAATTGTCGGCGTGGCGACGGTTGTTCATGTCTTGCAATTCCTAAAGGATAATTGACCAACTAAATTAATAAATATTTTCTGGAATATTGAGAATAATGTAGGACAGATGGCAATGAGGATATTTGCTGTTGTTTTATGTATTAGCGCAAAGCTCTTGACAGAGTCAACTGGGGTAATTTTATTTATTTTTTATTTATTTATTTATTTTAAATATATAGCCCACAGATTTCTTCCAAGAGGACTCAAAAATACAATTATTTTACATAATGAATAACAATTAAAATATATATAAAATTACAATATATAGTTATTAACATAAAATGCTTAACATAAAATTACATATAATGCAGAATGTAACAATATTATTTATTTACATAGAATAAGATAAAATAATGAGAGATTTGAAAAGAAAATAAAAAGGTTAACTTGTGCAGATGGAGATTATTTGATTAGGTGAAGTGTTGTGAATACCTATTTCATTATTAATTAAGTTAAAGTTAGAGAACATAAGTAAAATAGGCAAATTTAAGAGAGAATTAGATTTAGGAGTAGGATAACTGAAAAATAATGGTGAACGCATAGATAGCCTTGAAACATTAAAGGATAGTTGGTTAAGAATAAGAGGACAGTCTATAGAAGTATTGCATAGTTTAAATAAGAACATAATTGTACAGATAATTCGACGTGAGGCAAAGGAAGGAATACCAAATTCTTTTAGTAAAGTGTTGTGGTCAAAGCCACATTTAGGGTAAATTTTATATGTTTTATAATAAAGATATTTCACACATTTTCGCTGAACCTTCTCTATCGCATCAGAGTTGTTGATTTGATGAGGATACCAAATAACCGAACCATATTTTAATTTTGAACGTACAATAGAATAGTACATGCAAAGTGCATTGTTAGAATTGAATTGTTTACAATTTCTCAGTATCAAACCTAAAGATTTATGTGCTCTATTACAAGTATCAGTTATATGATCCGTGAAAAACAAACCAGAATCAAATAAAACTCCTAAATCTGAAATTTTATTACATCTATCAATGCTGGTGTTAGAAATTTTATAATCAATATGTATTGGAACGCACTTATGTGTAAAACTGAGAATCTTGCACTTTGATATATTTAAATGCAATTTGTTATAGACACACCAAGAGTGGAAAGAGTCAAGTTGAGACTGTAATAATAAGCAGTCATCAATAGAATTTATTTTGGGATATAGTTTGAGATCATCTGCAAATAATAAATGTGGGCAGGTAATAATATCAGATATTTCATTAATAAAAATAATGAATAGTAGTGGACCAAGAATGGATCCCTGAGGAACACCTGAACTGATATTTTCAATGTTGCAAATTATTATGGGGATTTTGAAATTTATTGGCATCAATTAGAGAGACAGAAGGTTGATTTCGAATCTGTATATGGGACAAAGTAAAGATTAGGGTGAACCAAGGAGATGGCAGGGATGCTGCATGTCCTCGATCTTTTTCAGCCTGTACGGATAAAAATGTACTTGAGGTTGCTGGAGATTTTTCAATTGGAGAAGAAGAATATGAACAATAAAGGCCTTAGGACAGACTACTATTTGTCTATTATTTTTATCTATATATTTTTCTTACCAGTAGATATTTCCTTCGCCTCTCCTCCTTGTGCCTGATGCGCATGGCCTCGGCCTGTCGCCTGGCCAATTCCTCCTCGGACCAGGCGTCAAGGGCCTCTCTTCTCACGGGCGACCTGTAGTGTATGGTCACCTCGCCGTCCACGTACCGATATGGAGATTCTGAAAAAAAGATAAATAGATACATAAAATAAATTAGAAAATGTTAAAACTTTGTAATAACGCCTGGTTTTTAATTATAATAAAGGACATTGATAATCAGGAAAATTTTCGTGATGATATTAGGGTGATTTTCAATAGGGATATTTTCGAATTTCTTAGCTCCCAAATTAAAGAATTCTCTAAATGTTTCAGCTCCTAATAATAAGGGGCACAACTAGTGTAAAATTTTCAAAAAATCGAATTTTCAATTTTTCCATATTTCGATAGGTTATACCTTTTAAAAATAACATACCAAAATTTTAAATCAATATCTTACATAGTTTTTGAGTCACAGCCATTTAAAGAGTATATATATAGTATATAGTATAACGATCATCTTATATTTAAACGCGTTTTTCTCGAAACAGCATTTTCTGAATTTGCTGCAGGAATTACTCAAAAACAAATGATTCTAACACTATCAAATTTTTTTACATGTTATATATATATAGTTCTCCATAAAATGAACTATCGATTTTTTGATCGGATCAAAAATCGAATTTTGGCAGTCCAAACCGTCCAAAATTTTAGGTAAAATTCGACTTTTTTTTTAGAAACGCCGTCATTTTGTCAATTTTTGATTTTTTTTTTATCTTAGTTCATTTTACAGACAATATTATCTAATTTAACGAGAATTATTTTTTAAAAAATTCATCCATGTAGAAGGCCGGAATCACTGCAGCAGTGAAGAGCCTTTTTTTGTCGCACCGATAACTTAAAAAGACGTGGGCGACGATAACTTAAAAAATATTTAATTTTTTTCTTCAAAAATTTTACTATGTATTTTTAAAACATGTATAATTATATTCCTGAAATTTTGAAATTATTGATAAAGTAGTTTTTTTAATATGAATTCCCAAAAATCACCTTTTATTAGACGGTTACTCTAGTTGTGCCCCTTAAATTTAACATAGTCCGCAATCCAATGAAAGTTTCTAATGGGTAAAATTTCATTTGTTCATCAGAATTTCTAACTTAGCGAAAAGTGAATCAAAATTTTGAGAATAACATTCTCAAAAATCTTTTTCCCTCTACTTTAAAATAGTACCATTAAAAATATATTTCAGGTATCGTAAACTAAATAACAGGGCACAAAACAAAAAAAACTAGTGACGCAACTATTTCGCAATTTCTTCAAAGATAACCGATTATATCGTGACATCTTTTTGATATATTCTTATACACCATTTGCCCTTTACTTTAAAATAGTACCGCAAAAAATATATTCAGGTATTATAAACTACATAACAGTGCTTAACACGATAATAACCAATATTAAAATGAAATACTTTCTTTAAAGAATTGACAAGAAACTGTTTATCCAGACAAGTTTGTGATGTTTGCTTACATAGATTTTGCCCTCTACTTTGAAATAGTATCTTTAAAAAATTATTCAGGTAATGTAAACTAAATAACAGTGTTCAAAACGAAATAAAATACTTTTTTTCATTTTCAACTTTCATAAATAAAAAATTTACAACAAAAATTTTATGAAATAAGTATTTACTTAGAAAGAAAAACTAATAAACTTTTATTGAATTGCGGACTACGTTAGAGTTAATATTAGAAGCTGAAACTTTCAGAAAATTTTTCTTAATCAATTTGGAAGCATTTGTACCCCTGGGAGCAAAGAAATAAATTTAATTATGTTTAAAAAAATTAACTGACATTTTCCTCATCAATAAATTAAAATTAGATTATGTCGAAGCGAGTAGTTTTGAATTGTTGAAATTATTAAGCAAAATATTTGAAATTAAGTTATAAAGCACTGAAATTAAGTTAAAAAAAATGCAAATTTTGATAAATTTTGTCACAATTGAATATTTAAAAGTTGTCTGCGTAAATAGAAGCTAAAAAAGTTAATCCAATAATGTTCTTAAACCATAACGTTTTTTTATTAAATTACGAGTTAAATTTAAATGTACATGTCTTGATAATTTATGAAAAAAATGTTACAAATTTTGTTCATTTCTATTGAAGCTCAAATTATTTTTGAAACAGAATAAAGCTAAATAAAAATTTGATAAATATAATTGTTAAATATAATTTATAAATTATTATGTTAAATAAATTTAATATAATTTAATGTGCATAAAAGAGAAATTAATATCAACTATATAATGAACTTTCCGAATTGATAAAAGTATACTCGTATACCTTATAGTATTAAATTATTATTATACAATTATTATTAATTTATAAATTATTATAATTACTTTTATGTTATTAGAAAAACCATAATTACACAAACTTGCCAGGTAAACTCATAAATTTCATACAAACAAGAATTTTTGTAGGAATTTTTGTACCTGTAATAATGACCTTAAAAGCTAATTTAGAAATATATCATTTACCTACGGAAGTCATCCTATGGCACTAAAATATTTTCACTTCACTTATTTTTTTATCTTTATGTTATTTTGAAATAAAATCACTGTTTAATGGATTTCACGTGCTATTTTATGAAAAACAACCTGACATTTTAAAAATAAATAGAAAAAATATTTCTACTGAAGGTAAAGAAACAAGCGCATGCCATAAATATGAGTAATCGTATATATATATATATATATATATATATATATATATATAAACTAAAAACCTTTAATTGCCAATCTATTTCTAATAATTTATTAGAAAATTTTATTCGTCAATTTTACATATTTTATTTATTTCATATATAACGTACATTTCATATATAACGCACTAATAGTAAATTTGGTTTAATTCGGTTAAAGTTGATTTTTAACACGTGAATCGCCATGTCAGTCATATGTGTCTGACACAAAATATAGTGTCTCGGCAAAATATTTTTTTTTATTTGACACATTTTACAAAAAAGCTAAAGCTAAACTAATGATAAAAATACTTAAAATTAATGGAAATGAATTAAAATCAGAATAAATAGGAAATAATTCGAGAGCAAAAGGAACTCTACTGACGAACAAACTGAAATATGGAAAAGCTTTCTACTGACGAGAAAAATCAAATGTCAATCATATTTATCTGACAACAAAAACATTTTTTTCATGCTTTCAGTTTCTTTTAACTAAATTATCTAATAAAGCAACCATGAACCATGTGAATTTTTGATATTATCGTGGAGTTTAACGTGTTAATACGTATATATATATATATATATATATATATTATACATATATTTATCTGACTGTTTTTTCAACAATTGTTATTTGCAAAAAAAGTGTAAACAGGTATTAAATTGCAAGATAAACAACGTACGAGTTGTATATAAGGTGTCTTGTGATGTCTTAACAAGAAAAACAAATGGATCTTATTGTATTATATAAGAATATGGTATTTTATATATATATATTATATATATATATATATAAAAGAACAAGAACGTTTCCATATCGAGTAGAAAAAATATAAGTTAATTATCGCAAAAGCCGCACCCACATTTCTTGAAAGGTAAAATATTTATATAACACTGGAAAATGCGCGCAAAGTTAAATTCTTGGTAATTTAAAATTATAAACTAGCACGAGAATCAATTTTTTTATAATTCATAAAAAAATTACAATGTAATTCTCAGTAAGGAACGCAATACCGGTATACCGATATACCGAAAAACCGGTACACCGTTTAATTTTTTGTCAATATAAACTTTAAATCTCATAATCGCTCCAAACAAATGTCTTTTTAGGTCGTTCTACTGTATAATATTTTTAAATAAAATTCGACTAATAAATAAACGTTTTATCATCAGCACTTGATAATATTTATTTTTGTTCTAACATATATATAATTCATAATAATTACTAAATAGTTTTGTTATAAAAAGCAGATTATAAATTTATGAGTAACAATTTTTTCAAAACGTAATTCGATAGTAAGTCTTGGGAAAAATAAAAACAATAAAGACAAATAAAAATTTGCACAAATTTACTTATTATATAAAACTTTGGGCATGTAGTTAAAACAAATCTAAAAACAAAGGATCTAAGAAAGTCTTACTGTAGAAAATTGACAAAATATTAGTAGAAAGATAATATCAAAATTTTTGCCGAAAAATGTATAATATTTATATTATGATTTATATTCTTATTTATTTTTATTCGTTTTTAACGTCATGTTTTTAAGAAATCGATACTTCATCAATATTCATAAAAGGAGAACATCTTTTTAGCCATATATAATATCTGAATGACTTGTTTACGTATGTTAATTTGTTCTGCATATATTATATTAAATATACATACATAAATACATACATACATACATATATATATATATATATATATATATATGGGTATATATATATGGGTATGTGTATATAAAACCATGAGATCTGTTCTATAACAATATTCTATTAACTTATGAATGTCAACAAAAATTTGCATTTTTGAGGGCATCAAGATTTTGAATTCAGTAATTCAAAAAGCAAATTGAAATTTCTGTTAACCGTCATGTCAGTCATATGTGCCTGACACAAAAAAGTTATACATAAGTTATGTCAGTCTCCTATGTCTGACATACGATGTTTGATAGATAGTGTGACATAAAAAACGTGTTTTGGCAATAAAATAATTGTTTCTTTGACACCTTAAATTTTCTTGCTACATCATTAACAAAATTATCTAATATAGTTATGGACTATATGACTATTTTTCTGATATTATCGTGATATTTAACGCGTTAATATCTATTTTTTAAATAATTGAATAAATATTGATTGTTGTTTCGTGTGGTTTAATTTTATTTGATTTGCGATGCTAGAAACTCATAAAATAATTAAATTGAAAAAAAATAAAGAAAAGGATTCAAAACTAAAAAATATTCCGCCTATTGCAAAAGAATTTGAGTCAAAATCATATGACTGACATGACGATTGAAGTGTTCAACTTAAAATATTAGTTATAAAGAGTTGGTTTTTTTGTTGATATTTTTTACCAAGACTTAAATTTAGTTTATTTTGAAATCTTTATTGTATATAA